GGGGGGGGGGTCTCCAGAGAAACGAACATATGACGTTTTTCATGGACGAAATCGATATGTGAGGCTTCCCCTAGGCATATTAGCATGTTTACAATTTTTTACTCGAACTTATCAAAACAGCACAGAATCGTCGTGCTGATACTAATAAACGCTCTTGTTGAAACCGAGCTACGATATATACTAAGATATCTAATCTAGGGTTAAGTCAATTTTCACTTTGAATTTAGAAATTTCTCATTGATCTAAAAACAATCGGGGCAAAGTAAAGAACTCGGCTATGTCTCCTTTTTCAAGACACGTTTCCGTGTTGCAAATCGCTGTAATTTTTTTTCGCGTATGATATATCACATACATACCTTAGATATAAACAGTAAAGCGAGCAAGATTGTTGCGACGACGTGAGTGGAGAGAAAATCCACAACGTATGATACATCTGGGTTGTGAAAATTGTCCAAAACAATTCTGAAAGGGAAATGATATAAATTTTGAAGATAGGTAGATCGCGAATTGACCACTTAGATATGGGGAAAATAATCCAGGAGCAATTATATAGGCCCTACAATTCTGGTGCAGCGCTCTAACCCTGGAAATATGTGGACGTCTCCTCCCTTGCGGAAAACGTGGCAAAAAAAACAATAGCTACATGCAGGAATATGCGGATTAATTTTCTTGAAAGGTTCAAGTTGATGGTTTCCAACTGAACGAAACCAAATGCAAAAAACTTAGATTCAACTTTTCTAGTCATCCCGTTCAATTTGAGCCTATAATAGGTCATGTATTATAACCTTTTACCTTTAACAATTTTATTAGTGTATATACACCTAGCCTACCGTATAGTAATGCTTTGTAAAGGTACTCATAATTAAGCCACTTTAAGGCTGCAAGATTTTACCTCAATAAAATCTATATATAAATGTATACAGCTATTTCAATTAAGGTTGTCCCCCGAGCAAAGCGGAAAAGTCGAATACGAGCGCGAAAGGCTGCTGGGAATCGCTAATAAATTCATTCATGTATTAACGATTCCCAGCAGCCTTTCGCGCTCGTATTCGACTTTTCCGCTTTGCTCGGGGGAGAACCTTAATTGAAATAGCTGTATATAGGCTATCTATCTATCCATCTGTCTATCTAACCATGGATAATAAAATAAATGGATAGGAAACTAGCTGACGTGAGCTAATGTTTTCAATGGGCTGATGGCGTGGTTGGATGTTCAAACCTAGTTGCAAACCAAATTCTCAAAAACTGCATGTTTAGCAATAATACAGCTAAACATTTTAGTCAAAGAGCAAATAAATATAACTACGCCATTCTGCGATGAAATTTCTAAGTATTCCCAGTCAATTTTAGCAAATATTTCAAGTACTAAACAGTGAAAAATGCATCGCAAATTGGCGACGCCAATGGACAACTTGCATGTTAGACTAAATTTCGATCTAAGTAACGAGAAGGGAATCAAACACAACAGTTAAAAAGAACATAATGAAATTAGTAAAATTGCAAAATTTGATTGCGAAATGTTGCAAAATACAGAAAATATAGCCTTGCGAAGTTTGCATATTTTCAGTATATTTGTATTACGTGCGGAAATTGTTACCATTTTCGGCTCAAAAATGGTAACAATTTCCGCACGTAATACATTTAAATATACTGAAAATATGCAAACTTCGCAAGGCTATATTTTCTGTATTTTACAACATTTTTACTAATTTTAACAAGTTCTTTACGGGAATTTACTTTTTTTTCCTAAATCAAAAATTAGTCTAACATGCAAGTTGTCTATTTCGTAGCTACAAATGTAAAAAATTACAAAACAAAGACGAAAAACATTTACCTTGAATACTTTGTCGTGGCTTAGGCATGTTTTTAAAACAATTACACCAGTTTATGCTTCAATATTACTCTTTTAAAGCGGAAAATATAGCGAAGCAGCAAAAGTGCTGAGAACTTTGGCAATGCGCGTGACGTCACGGATTGCAACTAGGTTTAGACTGTGACGTCAGGAAGTTTCCTATCCAGTTATTTTACAATCTATGATCTAACCAACTGAGCTACAGAGTCCAGTTGTCGAGCTCTAACCACAGGTTCATGTAGAAATACTAAGGTGATGTAAGGTGTATGGGTAGATAGCAGAATTGTGGGCATCTCATTCGATAGAACTAAATGTTGAAGTAATAAAATAACCAACCTCAGTAGGCCAACCAGGATCATGATAAACACAGTGTTATAGATACACCACGCAATGTATTTACTCTCGTTATAAGCTGATGGAGCATTGCGGACACGTAGACACAACCATACACCCCAGAGAAGAAGAAGTACCTCCCCTATACAAATTAAGTATTGCAAATAAAGGCCGTGCTTTAAGCTTGGTTCACACATAGTTAATAGAATAGATGGTTTGGAAACTCATTAGAATAACAATATAGCTCATTATCTATGTTAGTCAACGTTTATTCATAAATCTGATCCTTCACCGTCACGTGTGTATTGTATTTTTGCTAAATCCACCAATAGCAATTTCCAATTTACCCTATTGTTCGAGTCACGGATAGGTCACTTTCTTAAGACATTGTTATTGGTTCGTTGGGCAAGAATACAATACACACGTGACGATGAAAGACCAGATTTATGAATAAACGTTGACTAACATAGACAATGAGTTAAATTGTTATTCTAATGAGTTTCCAAACCATCTATTCTATTAACTATGGTTCACACTAGCAATTTTGTCGACTATTTTGTGTTTCTGACGGATGCAAATGAGTAAACTCGCACACAAAAGTCTTTTGCATGTCATTCGTTAGATCACATCTGCCAGGAGGAGAAAACAATCAACCTAGAAATACCCCTCTTTTGGTGAACTTAAAATGTCACATGTTGTAGCAAGTCTGCCAACAAGCCGTTCGCACTGCTTGTCCCAAGGTTGTTCCAACAAAGTCCGATACAGTTGCGCTACAACAAGGTTGTTACAAGGTTGTTCCAACAAAGTCCGATACAGTCGTGCTACAACAAGGTTGTTCCAACAAGTCCGATACAGTCATGATATAACAATATTGTTACAACCTTGTGTCATCAACCTTGTAATATTCTTCTAATCTTCTTATATCATGACTGTCTCAGACGTGTTAGAACAACCTTGCAGCAAGTCTGACAATGCCATCAAGCTTGTTGTTAACACAATAACAGCTTGTTCCAAACTTGTTGCAACAACTGGGAATAAGCAGTGCGAACACAACTTGTCGACAGCTTGTGAACAGATTTGTAACAACTTGTTTGCAGACCTGTAACAACTTGGTCCATTTTAACATGTGTGGTTCAACAGACATGTGCACCACGTCGTCGAATTTGCAGCAAATCGTAGATCTTAAATTAACCTAGTACCACCTGCAAGTGTAAAACATCACAGCTTGTCAACAAGTCGACAAGATGTGTTCACACTGCTTGTTTCCAGTTGTTGACGAGTCTGGAACAAGTTGTTATCATCTTGTAACAAGGTTGATGTGACCAACAGAGTCGCAACAAGTTGTTCCAACAAGTCTGATATCGTGTGCACGTAACTTAAGTTGATGACAGCAAGCTCGTAGCAACTTGTTGCGAACAGCCTTTATTGGTCTTGTTCGAACAACTTGTAGCAAGTCTATTATCGTCATCAACTTTGTAACAAAGTGATAACAACTTGTTCCAGACTTGTCACAACAACTGGGAACAAACAGTGCGAACATATCCTGATATCGACTTGTCAACAACCTTTTTACAACTTGTTTGTAGGTCTGTAACAACATTCGCGTTTTTACGTATATGTGCACTCAGCGACTGCCGAAAACACTATGACCAAAATGAAATCGTCTTGCTCTGAATTGTCCTGGAGAATTACTTACCTATTTCAATAGCATTTGAAAACCATTCCCGAACGCAACGTTTGTACTTAAAGCCAGCACTCGTCATTTTAATCTCAGACTCGTGCGTCTGTGTCCACGTCCAAATCATAAGATAGCACAAGACAGCGACTAACATTAACGACAGGTATTTGAGTAATGTCCTGTCTGTCAGCTCTATCATTTTGGCTGTACGGAGACGAAATATTACTGCAATTCTAGAAAATAGGAAAGGATGTGTATAAAGAACCAGGCAATGGTTTTATTGTGTTTGAAAGGGATAGCTTTTGTTTTTGCAACAGGCAGGTGTCTGACTATAATTTCAGTACGGTCTTGAATTTCTAAAAGGTTTCTAAGAGGTCTTCTCTGGCTACTCTTGTTTCTTCCTGTGGAACACTGCATGATCCAACCAGACCCAGTACCAAAATGCGA